TCTTCATTCAGTGACTTGAACTTATTCACCCACATGTCTGAGGCCTTCAGGTCAGCCACTTCTGCTTCAAAATCTCTGACGGAGACACCAGGGATGTAATTCAGGTCGGCTGTGTTCAGTGAACACTCGTTTGGATGGGTGATGAACTTAAAAAGACAAGTGTGCTCACGAAATTCTCCAAAGCGTGCTTTGAAGGACTGTAGGAGACTGGATGTGCAGCCAGCTAGCTGGTGGAGATCAAGGTTTTGAATGGGCTCACTTGCTGTGCATGCATCTTTAAATTGGCTCAGTTTTTCAAAATGTAGTAAACGACCTGTTTCAAGATCCGTGATGAAAAGCTCCAGCTTGTTTTCAAAAGCAAATACAGCTTGTTGAAGGGATAACACTGTATTTCCAATGCCTTGCATTTTCACGTTGAGCTGGTTCAGATGTTCAGTCAGATCTACGAGATAGTAAAACTTGAGGAGCCACTCGGTGTCGGCTAGCTCAGGATGCCCGACGCCTTTCATTTCAAGGAAAGTCCGGATTTCGTTCAGGCAAGCCGCAAAACGGCTAAGCACCTTCCCTCTTGACAACCAACGCACATTGCTGTGCAAAAGCAGACCAGGATAGTTATTTACAACTTCATCCAGCAGTGTTTTAAACTGGCGATCATTTAAGGCTCGGGCAACAATAAAGTTGATCACACGAATGACCAGCGACATCACTTCGCCAAACTGCCTGTCACACATCTGAGCACAAAGTGCCTCCTGGTGTATAATGCAATGGAAACTTAGGATGGGTCTATTTTCATGTTCACGGAGAAGCGCCACAAATCCTTTGTTTTTCCCCACCATACACGGAGCACCATCAGTACACACTGAGAGAAGTTTATCCATAGGTAAACTTTTTTCTTGAGCAAACTCCATGAAAGACTTGAATAAATCCTCACCTCTTGTGGACCCTTTTAATGGCAGAACAGCAAGACTTTCTTCGCGCGGTGTGTCACCGACAGCATATCTTGCAATCACGCTGAACTGCGACAAATGGCTCACGTCTGTTGACTCATCCAAAGCCAGAGAAAAGAACGGCGCTGCATTTATGTCCTTCACTTGCGTTTCCTCCACTTTGTTTGCCATCACGATGGTACGATCATGAACAGTTCTTGCCGACAGAGGCATGTCTTGTATCCGTTTGATTATCTTGTCTTTGTTCGGAAGATCATCAAAAAGTTCATTGGCTACATCCAGCATGAACGTTTTAGCATACTCGCCATCTGTGAATGGTTTTCCGTTCCTCACTATTGCTAAAGAACCAGCAAAGCTAGCCGAATTATAGTCACCTTGCCGGGTCCATACGCGGAGTTGCTGCTGGCTAGCTTGCACCCTGCTCAGAAGCTCTTGGCACGCTTTCTTTCTGCTGTCTCCCGCAGGGTATTTTGATGCAAAGGTAGCGTGGCGCGTGTCGAAGTGCCGCTTTACATTCGACCGTTTCAACGATGTAATTTTGTCATTGCAAATTAGACACACCGCAGAACCCGCTCTCTCCACAAAGGCGAATTCTTCGGTCCATTCGTCCTGAAATGTACGATACTCGTCGTCTTTTTTTCTTTTCGCCATCTTCTTCGTCGAAGGGTTAGCTTTGAGCTAATGACCGAGCAGACGCAGTCTCAGACTGATTCAAAAGGGGGCGTTTACCTGTTTTACCCAGCAACGGCAAACGTAGGCCAGTATCATCCAATTAAAATAATGGACAATTGCTCCTGCTGCCCTGAACAGGACATGCGCAGTGAAAAATCGATGGATGGATTAAAACAAGTGAGAATATTTTGTTTTATCTGCGAGCCATATGCAATCATCAAAAGAGCCACATCTGGCTCGCGAGCCATAGGTTCCCGACCCCTGCTATAGAATAACACGCCATGCCAGATGATTTACTACAGTAGTAGCCCAGGTTCCTGGTTGTTGAGGAAATGCGGTTGTTGATAAAACGCGCCATCTCTTGATGACTGTAGGCATTGGGTGCACACACACACACGAGCTGCTGCTGCTGTACATTCCGGACCCTACACTGCGTGTACCGCATGACCACCTGGTCCCATGACCACCCACTTCCTCATAGCAATGTGAAGTGAGAGATGCCAATGCAAATCATACCTCGGGTTGCAGTTGCAAATGAAACTATAGTCTAGTCAATGTAATGAAATCGAAACTTTTGTTTTAATGTCTAGAGGCAACTGGCTTGAAAATGGAAGGGGCCTCATATAGATGGACAGGTATCAGACTGTAGATTGCCATGACAGATGAAGCTCCCATTCTTGTGTCTTGGCTGGTACGGGAAGTTGTCAGTATTGATGACAAATTGCAAATAAAGGTGAATCATTCTGCTGTTCATCTTCTTAAGCAATGTCCTAATCTGCAACACTGCATGTGACATTTTTTATTTTGAATGTCACCTTGGAAATTTCTGGAGCTTGAGCAACATCTCGCATGATGTCAACTTACTGACACGGGGTGACTATCGCACACCCAGTGCTAAGTAATGAAAGTGCACACCGCCGGCTCATATAGAATGTGATGGTATTTTGTACAGCATCGCGATACGTCCAAAACTGCAGCTCACAACGCCGCGGAGTGAGTGACTCGCACTGTCTTTGTACGGAGGCGCGGGGAACCGGGCACCCGGTGGCTGGAGGCAGCCAGAGGTGGTACCATCCACGATCGCCCAAGCTCTGCGTTCTGCCTTTACGGGGCAACATCGTGAAATTACTCTAATCCCACTTGATTAGTATACAGTTACCTTCTCGAATTTGGCAGAATTTGGCAAAATTTGGACCATGACGTGGGCACATATTCCACTGCAAGTGAAGTAGATGATGCGCTCTATGTTGTGGTGAATACCTCCCGGCAGTAATCGTCGGGGCGGCCGCTGGATCCGAACCTTGAACCGGTGCAACAAGCGGTGAAGCTGCAGATGCTGTGCCCGGGTGTTCCAGTTAAGATGTTGAGGCTGGCGGACGTGGTTTTGTGTATATTTGGGAGATCGTTTCACGAGTAAGCGACCCTTGTGCCTTGGTTTATGACAGCGTGGATGATACTGCATCGATATCCACTTAGTGCAAGGCCTTAGCGTAGTCTACAAAGGTTAGGTGACATGGAATTGTATCTGTATTAGTCTATCCCACAATATGATTGATGCTATGTGCAGAATATAGTCGATGGTACAGAAACCTTTCCTAAATCTTAGTGAACAACGATGCATAAAATACGTGCGGTAAGAGGTTTAATTTACAAAGCAGTTTCATCGCTGAACATTTCAAATATTTTTTTTACTCATTTTTTCATTCGTATTCATTTAACAATCTGTGAATGTGATTAATTATGTATGAGTGTATGAAAATATAAAATACGAATACCTGACTGGTATCTTATACCATTTATATATTCAATTGGGTTGCACAGAAACAGCAGTGTAGTAAACATCGTGTAAAAAACATCATCGCTGCACTCAGGGCAGAAAAAGGCTGCGGTAGGTCACTGGCTTCTGAGAATAACAGAAATTGCCTCGCACGTGGCGCGTATGACATAAAATATCACAAATCCGCTTGATACATGTACACAGTCCTCGACTTACGCACATCCGCTCTTACCAACCAGCTTCTATGTAATACTGCACAGTATAACATGTTTTTTTAAACATTGACTTAACACGCGAACTCACGCTTGCAAGCTGAACGGCGAGATGTAACGAGTCACGCTTGTGCTTGGAGTGTGTGTGAGAAAGAACCCGGCCACCCCAGTTCGATTCCCGATCACGGCCAACGCCAGTGACGATTATCGGAACAGGTCCTGGGCCTCCCCTAGGTCGACTCAGCCTCAAATTAGTACTTGGCGCGATGTGCAAACATCGCCACTGGGGAGACAAAGGTGGCCGGGAGTGGTGCTGGACACCCCACCCCCTCGTATGTCCCCAGCAGTCTGTTACAGGCTGGGGGGTGTAATCGTGGTCACGTCTAGTGTGCGTGCCAGCATCAGGATTCAAATAAAGTGGAAATGAAATATACATTTTTGTTACTTTAATGTTTTATTTACTACTAGTTCATAAAGCCTGTCTTCGTCGGGCAAAGGCTTTCAATAAATATAATTGACCTGATGTGTTTTTTGACAATTTGTATTTACGATCTGACACGAACGACTCCAAATATTTTTTTTATTTTTACGCAAAAAAATACAAAATTGTTGTCGACTTGATTCAACTTCTTAAATTTAAAGACGTACCCATCGGAAACCGCTCAATTAGAAAGATTCCGTTGTTTTTTATTAGAAAGAAGAAACATTTATGAACGTAATATTCTCTTAAGGGAAGCTCTCCGATATTTTACCGTTTTCAAATAATTGATATTTGAACATCATAAAATGCGTTTGTTCCCCGTTCAAAACTACTTCAATCCGAAATATCTCAAAACAACAATAAAAGATAGAATGGTTATCGCTTTCATTTTATTTGCTGTTTAAGGTTGTAAAAAAAACCACAATCGTACATTGTGAACGGTTTCTGAATGACAAGCACTAACATGCTAACGGGGAACTTAAAATCGAGATTTGGGGGCATTAAAATGAAAAATATCGGATTTTCAAATGTGTCCTATTCTTTGTGTAACACATTTCAGCTTTCTACCTTGTCGGGAAGTCCCCTGGAGGTTTTTGAGACGTACAGATTAAGGTATTTATTTATATATAGAAGATACAGTATCTTTTCAGTGTTACACGCAAATGTAAAATATTTCTTATTTATGAGTTTAACAATGCTTCCCCTTTTTTAATGAACCGTAACACATTTCATAACACTGACCGTACGGGCATTTAAATATAATGCGTTGCCGTGTTCCGACTTACGAACGGATGGTGGTGTTCGTAAGTCGGGGACTGCCAATGTGCACGTTGAACTTTCGCACCGTGCTAAGTCGGAGGCGCGGATCTCCGCGGCTTCTACGTCGCCTCCATCTCCCATCACCTCCTCACCTGCACGTCTCCCTGCTCCACGTCCTCCTCCTCTCTGTGCCGCGCGCGGGCCCCCCCCCGCGTCTCCACGGAGCCCTCCTCCTCTTGCTCCCCGTTCCCCTCTTCCTCCTCCCGCTGCTGCTGCTCCCCCTCATCCTCCTGCTCGTCCTGCTCCTCCACCACGTGCTCGGTCAGCACCTCGTTGCCCTCCTCTTGCAGCCTCTCGACGCCGCTCATTAAGCTGCGCACAAACTCCATGCCTCCTCCTCTCTGTCTCCCCCTGTGTGTCTCTGTCTCTCTGTGTCCCCCTGTGTCTCTCCCTCTCTCTGTGTCCCCCTATGTGTCTCTCCCTCTCTGTCTCCCTGTGTCCCCCTGTGTGTCTCTCCCTCTCTGTCTCCCTGTGTCCCCCTATGTGTCTCTCCCTCTCTGTCTCCCTGTGTCCCCCTGTGTGTCTCTCCCTCTCTGTCTCCCTGCCTCTCCCTCTCTGTCTCCCTGTGTCTCACTCTCTGTGTCTCCCTGTGTCTCTCTGTCTCTCTGTGTCTCCCTGTGTGTCTCCCTCTCTGTCTCTCTGTGTCTCCCTGTGTCTCTCCCTCTCTGTCTCTCTCTGTGTCTCCCTGTGTCTCTCCCTCTCTGTCTCTCTGTGTCTCTCTGTGTCTCCCTGTGTCTCCCTGTGTCTCTCCCTCTGTGTCTCCCTGTGTCTCTCCCTCTCTGTCTCCCTGTGTCTCTCCCTCTCTGTCTCCTTGTGTCTCTCTGTGTCTCCCTGTGTCTCTCCCTCTCTGTCTCTCTGTCTCCCTGTGTCTCTCCCTCTCTGTCTCCCTGTGTCTCTCCCTCTCTGTCTCTCTGTCTCCCTGTGTCTCTCCCTCTCTGCGCTCGCCCCGCGTCTTTCTCCGCCGTCTCTGGGAATCCCCGAAAGAAGACGCTGCCAGCTCGTGACGTCACGCTCAAGGGGCGGAGACTGCGAGGGCAGTCGTGAAGTAGCCTAAACTAGCACGACGACTCACCACTACTCACCACTACTACTACTCACCACTACTCACCACTACTACTACTCACCACTACTCACCACTACGACTCACCACTACGACTCACCACTACTCACTCACCACTACTACTCACCACTACCACGACTACTCACTCACCACTACTCACCACTACTCACTACTACTCACCACTACTACTCACTCACCACTACTACTACTCACCACTACTCACCACTACTACTACTCACCACTACAAAACCACTACGACTCACCACTACTCACTCACCACTACTCACTCACTACTACTACTCACCACTACGACTCACCACTACTCACTCACCACTACTACTACTACTCACCACTACTCACCACTACTACTACTCACCACTACAAAACCACTACGACTCACCACTACTCACTCACCACTACTCACTCACTACTACTACTACTCACCACTACGACTCACCACTACTCACTCACTACTACTCACTCACCACTACTACTACTACTCACCACTACTCACCACTACGACTCACCACTACTCACTCACTACTACTCACTACTACTACTACTCACCACTACTACTCACTCACCACTACTCACCACTACTCACTACTACTCACCACTACTACTCACTCACCACTACTACTACTACTACTCACCACTACTCACCACTACTACTCACTACTCACTCACCACTACTAACCACTACTCACTACTACTCACCACTACTACTCACTCACCATTACTTACCACTACGAAACCACTACGACTCACCACTACTCACTCACCACTACTAGTACTCATCACTACTCACCACTACTACTTACTACTCACTCACCACTACTCACCACTACTCACTACTACTCACCACTACTCACCACTACTACTACTCACTCACCACTACTCACCACCACTACTACCACCACTACTCACCACCACTACTATTACCACTACTCACCACTACTCACCACTACTCACCACTACTACTACCACCACTACTACTCACTCACCACTACTACTACTACTGACCACTACCACAACTACTCACCACTACTACTCACCACTACTCACTACTACTACTCACCACTACTACTCACCACTACTCACCACCACTCACCACTACTACTCATCACTACTCACCACTACTACTTACCACTACTACTCACCACTACTACTACTCACCGCTACTACTGCTACTCACCACTACTACTACCACTACTACTACTCACCACTACTACTCACCACCACTACTCACCACAACTACGACCACTACTACTCACCACCAATACCACTATGCACCACTACTACTACTCACTACTACTCACCACCACTACTCACCACTACTTACCACTACTCACCACTACTACTCACTACTACTCATCACTACTCACCACTACCACCACTACTCACCACTACTACTCACCACTACTCACTACTACTACTACTCACCACCACTATTGACCACTACTACTACTCACCACTACTCACCACTACTACTACTCACCACTACTCACTGCTACTACGACTCACCACCACTACTCACCACTACTACTCACCACCACTACTCACCACTACTCACCACTACTACTACTACTCACCACTACTCACCACCACTACTCACCACTACTACTCACCACCACTACTCACTACTACTCACTACTCACTCACCACTACTACTACTACTCACTTATACTCACCACTACTACTACTGACCACTACTACTACTCACCACGACTACCAACACTACTCACCATTACTCACCACTACTACTATTACCACTACTACAACTCACCACTACTACTCACCACGACTACCACCACTACTCACCACTACTACTATTACCACTACTACTACTACTCACCACTACTACTCACCACTACTACTACTACTCACCACTACTCACTCACCACTACTACTCACCACTACCACTACTCAACACTACTCACCACTACTACTACTCACCACTACTACCACTACTCACCACTACTACTCACCACTACTCACCACTACTACTACTACTCGCCACCACTACTACTACTACTCACCACTACTACTCACTCACCACTACTCACTACTACTCACCACTACTACTACTACTACCACCACTACTCACCACTACTACTACTACTACCACCACTACTCACCACTACTCACCACTACTACTACTCACCACTACTACTACTACTACCACCACTACTCACCACTACTCACCACTACTACTACTCACCACTACTCACCACTACTACTACCACCACTACTCACCACTACTATTACTACTACTCACCACTACTCACCACTACTCACTCACCACTACTCACCACTACTTCCAATACTCACCACTACTCACCACTATTACTACTCACCACTACTTACCACTACTACTACGACTCACCACTACCACCACTACTCACCACTACTCACCACTACTACTACTACTCACCACTACTAATACTACTCACCACTACTACTACTACTCACCAATACTACTACTCACCACTACTCACCACTACTACTACTACTCACCACTACTACTCACTACTACTCACCACTATTCACCACTACTCACTCACCACTACTCACCACTAATACTACTCACGACTACTGCTACTACTCACCACTACTACTACTCACCATTATTATTCACCACTACTACTACTCACTCACCACTACTCACTCACCACTACTCACCAATACTCACTCACCACTACTCACCACTACTACTCACTCACCACTACTCACCACTACTACTCACTCACCACTACTACTTACCACTACTCACCACTACTCACTCACCACTACTCACCACTACTACTACTCACTCACCACTACTCACCACTACTACTCACTACTCACGACTACTCACCACTACTACTCACCACCACTACTCACCAATACTACTCACCACTACTCACTACTACCACCACTACTCACCACTACTACTACCACCACTACTCACCACTACTACTACTCACCACTACTACTACTACCACCACGACTCACCACTACTCACCACTACTACTCACCACTACTACTACCACCACTACTCACCACTACTACTACTCACCACTACTCACTCACCATTATTACTACCACCACTACTCACCACTACTATTACTACTACTCGCCACTACCACCACTACCACCACTACTCACCACTACTCACTCAACCACTACTCACCACTACTCACCACTACTACTATTCACCACTACTACTACTCACCACTATTACTCACCACTACTACTACTCACTCACCACTACTCACCAACACTACTCACCACTACTACTCACTCACCACTAGTCACCACTACTACTCACCACTACTCACCACTACTCACCACTACTCACTCACCACTACTACTCACCACTACTCACCAGTACTCACCACTACTACTCACCACTACTCACCACTACTACTCACTCACCACTACTCACCACTACTACTCACTCACCACTCACTCACCACTACTACTCACCACTACTCACTCACCAATACTCACCACTCACTCACCACCCACTACTACTCACAACTAACTCATCACTACTACTCACTCACCCCTATACTCACCACTAATACTCACCACTCACTCACCACCACTCACCACTATACTCACCACTACTACTCACCACTACTACTCACCATTATACTCACCACTCACTCACCACTACTCACCACTCCTCACCACTCACTCACCACTACTACTCACTACTACTCACCACTACAACTCACTCACCACTACTCACCACTACTCACAACTACTACTCACCACTATTATTCACCACCACTACCCACCACTACTACTCACCACCACTACTCACCACTACTACTCACCACTACTCACTACTACTCACCACTACTATTCACCACTACTCACCACTACTACTCACCACTACTACTCACCACTACTACTCACCACTCACTCACCACTACTCACTCACCAATACTCACCACTCACTCACCGCCCACTACTACTCACCACTCACTCACCACTACTACTCACTCACCCCTATACTCACCACTACTACTCACCACTCACTCACCACCACTCACCACTATACTCACCACTACTACTCACCACGACTCACTCACCACT